GTATGCAGGCACAGTCATTCGGGCTGTTCTGACGGATAAACGGGAGAAATATTACGACAGTAAGGTTAGTGAGAGTTTTTCCACACAAGGGGCCCTGAAATAATCCTGTTTGGATGCAGAAGTATAAAAGTTACTCTGAAACATTTGAATGCATCCTTTGATGTGATCCCTTACCCATACAAACACGTGTTATTTTTCATTGTTACATTAATAAGCGCAATCTAAAAAAATTGCTGTTGTCAACTTAACATATTCAAAATGTTGCACGATTTAACAGTTATTAGACAACATTTAGGAGAGTTCTAGCAGCTTCTAGAAGAATGAGAACTACTATAATTAAAAAAATAAATAAATATATATATATATATATATATATATATATATATATATATATATATATATATATATATATATATTTTAAGAAATCTTTTCTCACACGGTCTGTCTGTATTTATCCTTCAGTGCTCTAAAATATCATGGTAGATGGCTGCTTTCACTTTAACAGACAGACTCCAGCAGAGAAAAGTACTTGAGACTTTCCTCTTAAACTCCCGAATAACCTTTAGCCTTTGCTTTTCTCTCCCCATGTATCTGAACCCTTTCATCATTCCTACACGGTCCTGAAAATTGTGTTAATCAATTTAAATATGTGCCAGATCTGGATCCGTATGGAAAACATACATTTTTCTGGTTATTTCGCTGTCTAAATTAACCACTTAAAGTATAACTTACCCTGAAAAGAAGCATAACCACAGCCCAGAAGCAGTTTGGGGTTTAGCGGGGCTGTTAACGAGACGGGGTAAAGCATGGAGAGGGAACAGAGGGACGCTGGTGGTTATGCCACAGATGGATCTTCTGAGGGGGAGGATTTTTTCCCCTCTCATCACCAGGGGTTGAGGAAAGCTTTGTGGAGCCCAGTGGGCCGAGCCATCATTACATGATGACTCGCTATAGTAATAATTGACTGAGATGCTTCGACGACATAAGGTTGAAACTTTTATAACAGAAAAAATTCAGCTGTAATATCAAGTGATTGACTCCAATGCCACGTTCACACATTTTAAGTTTCAGGTATGTCCTGTTTAAATTTAATGTCTGAGATGGACGCTCATCAATGGGCATCAAGAGGTCCTGCAGCCATTTTTAACCATTTGGTGTGGCACCTCTTGAAGCTTTTCAAAACTTGGATGCGAGGCATCGTGATCTTTTAAGCTTTTATGCACATGCAAAACACCAGACGCTGGATTAGCAAAATCTGAACTTGTGTAGAACTTTTCTCTAGCTGCAAGACATAATCATAAAAATTAGGAGTAATACATTTATAAAGATGGATGTACAGCTCTCTCTCTCTCTCTCTTTGTAATCAGCAAAAGTTATTTAATTTCAATTAGATTATATGAAGCTTCAGCTGTATAATTGAATTTTTTTTTTTACACTAGGGCATTGGTTGCTACATGTTCCGCATTGATGACTTTGATGTGGTCGACGCGACGATGCAAGGCAACGCAGCCCGCTTCATCAACCACTCCTGCGAGCCGAACTGCTACTCTCGCGTCATCAACGTGGACGGACGCAAACACATCGTCATCTTCGCCCTGAGGAAGATCTACCGGGGCGAGGAGCTCACCTATGACTACAAGTTCCCCATCGAGGATGACAAAAACAAGCTGCACTGCAACTGCGGCGCCAGGCGGTGCCGCCGCTACCTTAACTAGACATCCTGGTCACAACCATCGGCTTTTGAGTACAGAAAAAAGCCATCTTTTTATATGTATATATGGAAAGAGCTTGATTTAAAAACAAATCTTCTCATGACTGTCCTCAAATCCTTGGTTAGTTTCCTGAGTGCAGACGTGTGTAGCGTTCCTTTGGATTTAAAGTAGGCTTACCCTTTTCCCGCTGCACTCTCTCAAGGTGTCCTTTGTTTGTGACTTCTGCTGAATTTGAGTCTAGACAGATAATTACCAAAACACCCACGTATGGAGCTCACCAGCAGACCCCGGTGGCAGTTATTACAGAGTAAAGGAGGCCCGTCGGTATGCTGCTGGAAGAGCGTGCCTGCAAATACAGGATCAAAAAGAGGGGAATGAGGAGAATTTATTCAGCACCTTACTTTGACACAACCTCCTCTGGCAGCGCGGCGCAGCAGACTGGACACGTTTCCTTTTCCAGACAGAGTAAACAAATTACACCCATTGCACCTTGTGTATATTGTAGAGCAGCTACGTTTGAACTCATCTCCGGTCAGCAGGGAATTCACTGTTTTAGATCCTGATGTTATTTATCCCTCCAAAAAGTCTGTTTTAATAGTCCTTTTCCATCTGCTGTCAGTTCCGTTTTGCCACTTTTATTTGTGATGGAAGAAAAGTTTTTATCCAGCTGATATTCTCTTCTTTATTTGTTGTTTTTTTTGTGTATTGTGACTAATGAGGGATAGTTCTCTTGGTGCAGGATTTGCTTCTGCCATGCAGTCGTTTTTCTAAATCTTTTTGTATATTTGAACAATAAATGTCTATTGAAACCAATTGGAAGCAGCGTGTTTGAGCTTTTAAACAGCTGAAGGTTGAACTGAGACGAAGCTTTCCTGGTTTCTTCGTCCTCACATCTCTCAGGTTTTCCTCATCTAAGTTTTCATATAGTAACATTGTATTTAATTAAACACCACTTTGTTGTTAAATCTTTCTAATTCTAGAGGAATGCTTGTGAGTACTAATAAGCATAAACTACTGTACTAAACACAAGTCCACACATTGGGAAACCACATGAAGTCACTGGCTGTATATTTGTTGTCTACGTTTGAAATCCTAATTGAATTTCAGTTGCAAATCCATAATACGGAGGGACTGTTAATGTAAAACTTGTATAAAGAATTTCTAAACCTGTTACATATTTTTTTACTTTTTTTTTTTTTATTTATGTTGAATAAAATTTCTCAAAGTTTCAGATGCCTCCTTTTCTTGTTCAGGAACTCTTATCGTTATTGACTTTTTGATATTGACACACTTCTCCCTCTGCTTTTTTTCTTACCGTGTGTATTTTACCCTACTGTATGACCATTATTCTTTTTCACTGTGCTTCTGATGTGGATTCATTTACCAACTGAAAGGTAAACATTATTTATTAAGAAAAAATATTATCCAAACCCATGAGGCTCTATATGGAAAAAGAAGATTGTGAATAAACTGATTTACAAATGTTTTGTGCAATATAACCAGCCAAGCCCAGATCAGCTTACTGTTAAACCTGTGAAATGTTTAAGATAAACAGAATATATCTAACAAAATGGAAAAAGAAAATGATTAAGGTTTGAAAAAGTAAAACACGAGTCTCCAATGTGTTGAAGTCAAGAATGCTGCATCAACTCTCCAGGAGGTCACAGAAGAAGCCAGAAAAACATCTAAACATAGCAGGCCTCATGATTCCATTAACCACTAACCTCCCATCCATCCATTTTCAGTTACAATTATCCCAAGTGGGGTCGTGAGGAGCGCTTGTGCCCTGCTCCAGCTGTCTACGGGAGAGAGGCGGGGTAACACTAAGACAAACTATCATTCACACACACTCACATCTAGGGAGAATTAACCTACCAGTCATGTTTTTAGACTGGGAGGAAGCTGGAGTACCCATAGAGAACTTACATATGCTCAAGGAGAACATGCAAATTCCATGCAGAGCAGCCCATAACTACTAACCTGACAGGATAAAATGCTTAATTTCACAATTTCCCCCAAAATATCTTTTGATTTAAAGACTTCCAAATGAAATGTACTTTGGATGAGACAGAAAAGCTGTTTTTTCAGGCTGTGTTTACTGTCAGTCCTTGCTTAAAAGTTATGTAACATTTCAGAGAAAGAGTATATCTACTGAATGTTAAACACGGTGGTGGTAGTGTGATGGCCTTGGGCTGCTTTAGGACCTGGAGAGCATAAAATGGAACCATGGATTGAGTCTCTACCAGAGAATTGTATATTGTACCTCTGATCTAATGTAAAATACAAAATCCATATGAAGAAAAGATAGAAGGAAGGTTTTGAGCTGTCCCACTCAAAGCCTGTTCTTGCTTCATGAGGCATAAAAAACTAACATTTGAACGCTTTCCTGAGTCCCTAAACTAAACTAATTCTGCAGAATTCTGAGATCGGTCCAAAACGTCCTCCACAGTGATCCACAAAATTTACTTTTTTTATTTTTATTAAAGCACTTGATGGGAGCTGTCTTTAGTTTTAGCATTAAAAATAGCATATTAACATAGATTTTAGCTGGTTTGGATAACTTCTTTCTAATCTCACCTGCTTTATATTATCAATCAAGAACCAGATTTTTTTGGTTTTATTGGATTTTGGGTAAGGGGGGGAAATTAATATCAGGTTTTTTAAATTAGAATTTTGGAGTGGAATATATTAAACACACTTTTATGTTAGATATTAAATTGAATAATGTCATAATGATGTTTGAGATTAATGTTTTACAGGTAGCTCAGATGTGATTAACTCTTGCTCAATATTCAAGAGTTTTAAAGCTGATATTATTGGTTTTTTTGTTTTTTTTTTTCCTCCCTCTAAATCCTGCAGTCTGGGACTCTCTTATCAGGTTTGTTGGGAATCATACAAAATGTTCCTGGTGCCTTTTGCTGATATGAGAGCAGACACCTGCAGGCTGCAATCCGATAGTATATAGGACCATGATATATATATATATATATATATATATATATATATATATATATATATATATATATATATGCTTTGTTGTCCTTTAAATGTGTTGAAATATTTTATGTCTTAATGTAAATTTTCTTTGCATGATATAAAGTGAACTAAAGCAGCCTGAAGACATCAAGCTTCATTTTGGACGTAAGTCAAGGTCTCTCTTTCTTTAGGCCATATGAACCATATGGACCCTTCCCAGCTCTTATCTTGATAAGGTTCGATGTAAAGGCAGCAGAGAGGTTTATAAGGAGCCCTGCTATTGGCTAGATCCACACACAGACAAACCCAACCATGAAGATCCTCATATTCCTGTCATTTGTTGGCGCAGCATGTAAGACTGGACTATTTTATTTACAATATAACATAGTTTACAATATTACATATTTCTTGTGTAGCTCAACACATTCCCTCTTAGTGTTTCTCAGCATCTTCTCCACAGCACAGATTATATTTTCTCTTTCAGTTGTTGCAGCTGAAGATCAGAAAGTTGTCGGAGGATATGAGTGCCCCAGACACTCCGTTCCCTACCAGGTGTCTTTGAACGCTGGGTACCACTTCTGTGGGGGATCTCTCATCTCAAGCCTGTGGGTTATTTCTGCCGCTCACTGCTACAAGTCGTGAGTAAAATAAGTCATTTCTACACCTTATTTCTCCCAAATCTGACAAATGTTCCAGGCTGCTCTTATCTGTGGGTCACTAGAAGCTGTTGGATCTGGTTAGTTTCTTATTATTTTTATGGAAAATCCAACATTGTGTTGAAGAGTCTGAAAAGCACAACGTTTTGCTATAGTTTTCCAAGTCTTGAAATTTAGATCACTCTTAAGGGTCTCTAAACTTAAAGGATATGTCAGTCATGTTAACACAACTTTACAAATAATTGTTTTATATTAAGTCTCTGCTACCAGCAGTCTGTCACCAACAAAATCTCAATCTAAATTTTTTATCTCAAAATTTTTAAACATGACACAAGCAGGGTTTATTTCTGAGAAATCTGATCATCTCATCAGGCAGGAACTGGTTTATGTTAAAAAAAAAAGAAATATATCAAAAGTATTTTACCATTTATTTTATCATTTCCAAATGGATTTACGAAGAAAAATGCTGAACCTCACAGAAGAAATTGACCAACACTGAACTTTTCCACATTTTGTTCAATAACAATCAGGAACTTTATTTCATTAACCAAAACTAAGTATTTTCCAAACATGAAATGTAAATTATGTTATTTTTAAATAACTGAAAGTCAAAAAACTGTTTTAGTCGTATTCCTGCAACATCATTGTGATACCCATCAATAAAATATCCTGCAACCAGTTGCCTTCAGCACTTGATAGTGAGGAGAAAATTAATCAGAGGTAACTCTGCAGGAGCTGCACAGGTCATGTGAGGAAAATCTGCTAACATGAAAATAACTGTCCACTCCTCAAATATATCTAACATCTACAATGTGACCCCTGCTTCCTGTCAACCAGCGGCATCCAGGTGCGTCTTGGTGAGCACAACATCGCTGTAAATGAAGGCACCGAGCAGTGGATCTCCGCCTCCAAGCTGATCAAGCATCCTCAGTACAACAGCTACAACCTGGACAACGACATCATGCTGATCAAGCTGAGCCGGCCCGCCACCATCAACAGCTACGTCCAGACTGTGTCCCTGCCTAGTCGCTGTCCAGTGGCTGATGAGAACTGCCTGGTGTCCGGGTGGGGCAACACCTCCCCCAGTGGAAGTAGGTGAAGGGAGAAAGGAGTAATAGTTATGATATCTAGAGCCTTAATGAAAGGTGGTCACTGACAGAATCTGCAATGCAAAGGGATTTGAAGAAAGTCAACATGTGAAAAAGGTGTAAAAACATTTTTAAAGTATCCAATCAATGATAAAACCAAAACTATATCAGTGATGCCAAAGACTCAATGAGAACTGTTGCTTTTAACACCATTGTTTTTTTTTTATCATCTAACAATTTCTGACTTCCTGTTTCCCTCTGGTATGATTGTGACATGTTACTAAAATCACTTAGCCACTCTTCAAAATGATAATAAGGAGGGTACATACAGTTCATGTAGGGGAGGATTTGTTTGGTTGTCATAATTAAGAAAATAATCTAAAACAAATCCCCTGTTTAAAAAAACAAACATAAATCCAGCTAATTAGAGTCTTAAATTATCATTCAGTATCATTATTTACTATTATCATGTCATTATATACTATTATCATTTTGTATGCACAGATTGCATATAGATTTTGTTGCATACAGCTTACAACAGTGTAATGATATTGCAGTTGTGGTAAGATAAACATCAATATAAAGTGCAGAAGTAATCAGAATGTAAAAAATATAGAAGAATAAGAAACCAGTTTAAAATAATGGTGCAAAAGGGCATTAATATGAAAAACGTTTAGCTCATTGCAAAATAAATATGGTGCAAATGCAGTAGAACATTGAGTTGTGTTCTATTTAAAAAGGATTTTTAAAAGTTCACCAACATTGGCAGAGTCCAGTTTAGAGTTATACGGTCTGATGGCAGCAAGGAAAAAGCTGTTGTGAAACCTGCAGGGGATGCTAGGAAGCCTCTTCCCAGAGGGCAGCAGGGAGGACAGTCCATGGTGGGGAGGGATGAAATGTCTGTTGTGGAGGTAATTGTGATCAGAACTCAAATTTATTTTACTTATGTAATAGACAGAGAAATCAAATGGTGACAGTTTCAACTAGCAATAATCACTAATTTACCCCTTTCATATTCTGCTAACTTTTATATATGTTTGCATATTATACTACTAGTTTTTTCCCCTGTGGCTAGGAGATGCATTTTCAGACAGAAATGTAAATAGATGTATAAATTAATACTTATCCCTCTTTTAATGCAGGCAACTACCCAGACAGACTTCAGTGTTTGAAACAGCCCATCATTGACCACCGTATCTGCAGGAATGCATACCCACACCTCTTCACTGACAACATGGTGTGCTCTGGATTCATGCATGGAGGCGCCAGCAGCTGCCAGGTGAGGAGTGAGAATCCACACCAGCTAAGGGTTGTTCAACCTAAAACATTGATTTATCTTTGCCTCATAGATCTTTGTATAATTCAATGGTTTAACGTAAAGGAAATCTGAAATATTATAATAACTGCTTAGTAAATTATGTAACAAAATCAGCAATAATTTGAGTTCATGTTAGTAAATCACAGAAAATAATCTGAACAGAAAACTAACAGTTACCATGGATACCGTTACTCTAAGGCAATTGAGAGTATTTAAAACTTCTTGTACAATAATAAAGAATGGATTAAAAAATAGCATTAAGGATAACCAGAATATTTTTTGGTTGTGTTAATAAGTTACAAGGGTAAAAGATTTCCTATAACTGTAACAATCATTCACTAAATTTTCCCTGAAAACCATTTTTTTTTTTTCCATTTTCCATATCTTAGAATCTTAAACATACATGCTTCACATTCCTCCCTCCACTCTTATTGCATTTTTGGTCAAAATTGACTTTGTGTTGATAAGAAGAATCACACATATTTTGCTTGAATATTAATATACCTTTCAAGGCGTTTAAGCAGTTTTCCTCCATTGATTCCCATTTAAACCATTGCAGATTGATTTTTTTTTTTTTATCTGGTTGCTCCCTTGTGTTGGAGCATCTCTAGTGATATAGTAAGATATTAGTGATATTTTCAAATTACCTGTAAAATTAGAACACATAACTGGTGCTACTCTTATCTTATAATATATCTTTTTTTTAATCTATATCTTTAAATAATATTCTAATATTTTACCCTTTCTTGTCATCATTAGTTTTTGGCCTACTTATCTGCCATTTCATCTTGTACCAAAAATATCCTAAAATGGTAAAAAAAAAATAAATAAATAAACCCCAGTTTTACTTTTTCGGTATGATATTTTCTTTTTCTCTACTTGACTCATACATCTCCATACAATCAAACAGCAGTCATGGGTTATGAGGAATGACAGAACAGACGTCTTTATTGATCAGCTCCCCCCTCCGCCTGCAGGGTGACTCCGGTGGTCCGTTGGTGTGCGGCGGTCAGCTGCAGGGAGTTGTCTCCTGGGGTTATGACTGCGCCATGCAGGGACACCCCAGCGTCTACGCCCGTGTGTGCCGCTACAACAGCTGGATCAACTCCACCATGCGCAACAACTGAATTCACCTTTCCATTCATGTATCAGCAACAAATTAATAAAATGTGTTTTTTCAGGGAGGTCTATTGCATTTGTTTTTTTGTAAGTCTCTATAATTTCTTAGTGGATAGCAACAACTTTAACATGCTCATGTTTGTCACTGGTTCACAGGATCAGTTTTACTCCACTACACATGCATGCATCTTGCTGTATTCTCTCCCTGGATGCTGTTAGGGCCAGGCTGATATGGAAAGTCAAGCAAACTTGTGTAAATATACAGTAATAGATAACTGTGTTTCACAGGCGTAAATATGCTGTGAATGCTTTCCTCAGGCGGCGCTTTGTAAACTTCGCTGTTTCTTGTTTGCTGAGGCAACCTGAACACACAAAAGGAAACACAAAGTTGAAAGAGAAGTAATAAATATAAGCTATCACCATCTAAATAAAGGTATTGTGCAATTCCTTACAGATGCTCTGTCAGTAAATAACCATCAGCTGTGTCCAACCGGCTCCAGGTTATATTATATATATATTTTTTGCTTTGGTTTAAAACTCTCTTAGATTGTCTGCTTGATTTTTTTTGTTTTTTTATCTTAGAGACCTTTTCTCTATAATTTACCTGAATATCACGAATTTCATTTCTGAAAAAAAATAATTATTTGGTGGGTTTTTGTTTTTTTTATAAAGTTATAATAAAGTTATGATATTTCTACGTTGAAAACCCACCTGACCAGCAATCCTGTCCAAGTCCCTCTGGCCCTGAGGAGTTAGCCGACGACCTCTGTGAGGACAAATGTTAATGATTAGACACCAATTCAGTGTTAAATACAATGTCCTGAATATATACATAGTTATATATATATATATATATGACATATATGACATTACTATAATAATGTATAGTTTGTGTGATTGACTGACACAACATAGCAGAGCTGAACAGAGAGGAAAATGGATTTTCAATTAAAAGTGTGGTGTGCATCTGCATTTATACCTGAATGCACACCTGAACCAATACTTTGCAGACTTACCTTCTGTTTCAATTAGGGATAATTAATTAGAGATAATAATTAATGTTTATGAGATATGTGTCTACCTTCCAACTTTCTAGAGAAAACAATTCTTCTTTGCAAAACAGTTCAAGTTCATTTAGATTGATTTAGGACATTTATGTAAGATCCATCTTTTCAAGCTTTGCTTTAAATTCTGTATTAGATTTTGGTCTGCAATGTGGCCTGTTTAAACTCAGTTAGAAGTTTTCATTTAAGCTTTTGTCTTGTTTTAAATTGTTATTTCCAAAACATATCGACATCAAGTTCACACATTTTATTTTATTTTTTTGCTGTTGAGACATTTGAACATATGAATCCCACACACTAGGAAATAGTAAACATGATAATTACCATGCTAAAGAATAACTGAAATTATACAAAGAAAATAAAATAAAAACCCAGAGCAGAAATATTTCACTAGTTTTTGGTAATTTGATTTAAACTCTAATGGAGAACAGTTGAAAACGTATTGTAGAACAATAAAAAGGACTGTCTAACCCATCTGTTTTAAAACCAAGCTGATGTGAACTCCAAACATATGCTGAGCTGTTCCTAGCAGAATTTCTAATCAACTTCCCCTGAAAATTTATGGAATTATCAGTAAATCAGACCTCCAGGTTATGTTGAACATTTCAGAACACATCTATTTTAAATTTCCTCCAAACAATAAGCCCTTTGGTCTCGATTGCAGGATTTGTATCCTGTTGAAGAGATAAATGCCTGTGCGCAAGAGAAGCACGAGCAACCATGTTTCTGTCTCTGTAACAGTCAGATTGCTGTGGAACACTAAACAGTGAGATCAGAACAATGGGATCCAAAGTTATTAGTCATACTGTTGATAGATTCTTCCATTAAAGTGAAAGATTTCTGCAGCTGCTTCAATCTTCAGGCTTATAATTTAATAATCACTTGTTTTCTGAACTTTTGCATCATGCAACCAGACTCTCTTGCATTCTTTAAAAGTTATCTTGATGACAGGATTTTGGGTTCAAAGTGTTCTTTCTGGGGGACCGCCAATAGTTTGTAAGAGACTGGAGAAATACTGGTTAATATTATTTTTAAAAAAAAGTTTACTTGCTCTCATTTCTTACCCATTTGGATCCTTCTCCACCATCTTAAGGCCCTCCAGGGCTTGAAGAACCTTCCTTGCAACGTTTCTAGAGCCCACGCTAAAGTGGGCGGGGCATACACCGTTTCTCTGACGCCCTCCATAGATCTTGATCATAGCGCCCACTCCTACACCGCCTCGTAGGTAAAGGTGACGGGCTGTGGATGCTAGTGAGGAGTCAAAAAAAAAGAACTGTTTTATCATATTAAACATACAATTATTCCATTCCACCTTCTGTGACATTTGCTGCAATGTATTTGACAACTTTTGATTGAGATTGTAAATCAAAAGAAGGATTGGAATATCTCTGGACATTACAGGGAGAAAGAGACAAAGATAAAGTGAAGTTCAGCACTTTATCAAAATCAAATATCTTAGTTATTCCTTTATTAGAGAAATAGTTGTACAGTTAAATTAATCAGAGCTTCAATTTCTATTCTGCTTATTGCATTCAATGATTCATATTCAAAAAGATGCACATCTGAACGACGGCTGATTACAAATCCTAAAATGTACATTTGAACACTTCCTGCTGTGAAGCCGTGGAGGTCCAATAGTCTGAACATTGAAAAAATAAATGTAAAAATTATTTTTTTGTTTTTATTAAACTTCCAAACAAAGTCACAACTAACAAATAAATGGACATATTTATGGCCTACTGCTGTAGGACATGTTTTTTTTATTTGCTCTCTCAGCCAATTAAAGTTAGTGGGCGGGGCTAATACTGATGGTAATCAAGATGGCAGCTCAGTGAGCACTTTAACCAATCAGCTGGTAGGAGCATCAGTGACAGTGGTGCATGGTGCTATAAAATCTGCTTCCTATAAGTGGATAGAGGTAAGACAACCGGATTTAATGTTGCTATAAAATTACTGCAGTTTGATTGATTGATTGTCTTTATTGATCTCACAGTGGAGAAATGTACTCGTTACATCAGCTCAACTAGACAAATAGAGAAGAAGAATGTGCCAAAGAAGAAAAAAGTGCATGGGATATATACAGTATATACAGTGCATCCACATATGGCAACTTTTTTTTTTTTTTATAGCAGGATTATTATACAGGGTTTTTGCACAGGGTGTTTATATGGGTATTTATATAGATGGATATTTATATATATAGTTTTTGCACTGGGTGTCAATAACTATATATATATATAAATAAATTCTTTAACTTAGTTTTTAGGTTTTAGCTGTAATCTCTCTCTTCACGGATACGTACATATCTATATGTGTTATTATTCTTATCATTGTTTGATGGCTGCTACTACTACTTGGGAACAAGTTGCCCTTCAGGTGCCTAATAAAATCAAATCCAAGCAACCTGCTCTGGTGTAAAACCAGTTGTCATTGCAGGGTGCCAGCTCTTTGTGTCTCGCTAACTTCACAGTGTCAACCCACTCTGGGACCTTGAGTTTGCCAGACCTGAAAAACACACAAAATAAAAATATGATGATTAGATTTAACAGCAAAGAAATAAGAGAGATGAATGTCCTTAAATAAAGTAAAAAATTAGAGGGTGTTTTAATGCAAACCAGATTTTTATTTTTTTAACAATGAGTAAAACAGCTAATAATTTTAAATGATCAAACCAGAACAATTTTCACATTTCCCGAGACTTAATTGAAAGAGTGAATGACATTTTAACTTGATGGCAAAAAGATTAGGAAGAAGAGTTAACATTAATAATAACAATGGTCATTGCAATGTTCAATACAATGATGGATGGATGGATGGATGGATGGATGGATGGATGGATGGATGGATGGATGGATGGATGGATGGATGGATNAAAAAAACAAAAAACTTTTATTCTTTTTATATTGTTTTCAACCTGAGAACACACATGTAATTAACCAGGTTGGTTAATGACATTTTAAGTTTCAATTCAAAGATCAAAGATGGCCATTAAATACATTTCTTTTTATTCAATTTTCTTTATTTATTTAAAAATGTATTTATCTAAATAATGAAATAAATTTAGCCTTATAGTAAGTGTTATCCTTTTTATTTTATTTTTTTATTTTTGTATCTATAATTTTACTTTTTGTGTGTATAGATACATGCTATATTTCTGCAATTTTCCATGGAAATAACAATGACAAGAATTATAAAAGTACAAAAAATGTTAATTTGAAAAATCATAAAAAAGAATATCCCTTCATTATTAACAAGGAAACCTACGTAAGAGGACGAAGAGGAAGTTAAGTAATTTTTAAATTGTATTTCAGTATAATGTGAGAAAAAAGTCAGAATTCTGACCTTAATCTCAGAATTCTGACTTTTTTCTCACAATTCTGACTTTAATCTCAGAATTCTGACTGTAATCACAGAATTCTGACTTTTTACTCACACTTTTGACTTTTTTTCTCACAATTCGGACTGTAATCTCAGAATTCTGAGTTTATTCTCAGAATTCTGAGTTTATTCTCAGAATTCTGACTTTTTTCTCAAAATTCTGACCTTAATCTCTCAATTCTGACTGTAATCTCAGAATTCTGACTTTTTTCTCACAATTCTGACTTTAATCTCAGAATTCTGATTTTTTTCTCACAATTCTGACTTTAATCTCAGAATTCTGACTTTTTTTCATAATACTGACTTTTTTCTCACAATTCTGAGTTTGTTCTCACGATTCTGACTGTAATCACAGAATTCTGAGTTTTTACTCACACTTTTGACTTTTTTTCTCACAATTCGGACTGTAATCTCAGAATTCTGAGTTTATTCTCAGAATTCTGATTTTTTTCTCAAAATTCTGACCTTAATCTCTCAATTCTGACTGTAATCTCACAATTCTGACTTTTTTTCCCATATTAAACTGAAATAACATTTAAAAATCAGTTAACTTTCTTTTTTTCCACTAATTTTTCCATGAACTAATCCTCTTCCATAGAAACCAATTAGCTCCTCCTCATCCTCATCAAACTGCATCAGGTACTTCAGACTGGTTGATTGACGGGCAGTGAGCGCAGAAAGTATGGCTTCACCTTCTGGTTTACTTACTTTTTGAGAAAAGCTGACAACGCCTTGACAAACTCCTGCTGGTTGACATCTTTCACCGTCACACTGGGCATCTAGAAAAACAAACAGGAGAAAATAAGCAAATAAATTCCTCTAAACATGACAGAGATGGGGCGGTTGGAATGTGTCGCGTGTCGCAGTAAGAAACGTCTCCCTCTTGCTAACGGTAGCCTAACGGTAGCCTAGCTAAATCTGATGCCTTAGGTAGCCATGCATCGCACTATAGGACATATTTAATCTATTTTTATGTCTAGTATCACATTTTTCTGATTTACTTTAAAAGCCACAAGTTCCCCAGGTTGGACGAATCTCGGTGTAGTCGAAGCATCAAAGGGAGGATGCTGCTGATGATGATGATGATGAGGGATGGAGGAAGACTGTCCGCATATGGAAAGGATGATGAAGCTTTACTTTCGTCCTAACAATTCAAACCGTTTTAAAGGTAATATTTATTTATTTTTTATCCACAACATCTTGTTTTATAGATGTGACGGTTTAATAATATTGTAAAAACATATTACATAAATAAAATCAAGTAATTCATATTGTATCCAGCAGGGGGTAGTGTTGTGACAGTTTTTTTTCTCCCCTCTTATTTGACTTTTTTCTAAACAGATTCAAAAGCTCTTTTAAAGACTACTGCGGTACAGACGGCAACAGAGGAGAAGTCGTCTTGGAGAAGAATGCATCAAAGGAGGGTAAGTAACTACAATGTTTGACTTTAAAACTCGTAATTCTGTCTGGAAATCGACTTACTTTGCTGTACTTGCATGTTGAAGTGAGTTGCACCTTATTTAGGGACGATTAATTTGTAGTTTTTGTCAATTCTGTTACAAAAAAGACCGTTTGCAGCAAATTATTTAGGTTTTAATGGATAAGAGGGGCTTTGCAGTTCTAAAGAATGATGTTCTTTTATCACTGGGCATTGTTTGCTTGGATCAGTGGCCATCTTTTCATACTGGGACTGAGTCACAGGCCTTCCAGTGCCAGGATAATTCTTCTACCTTTCAAAAACAAAGAAATAAACACTGTGTGCTTCTAGAGTTTGGGTCATTACAAATCTCCTGCCTAATTTACATTGCATGAGAAATTACAGGGTGCAGTAACCCTGCGGACCAGGCTTCTAGGTTTTAGCTCTCTCCCTTTGTAACCACTCCTTTTTTTCTTTCTCCCTTTCCTTTCTACTTATATCAGTCCTCATAAAATCCTGAGGTTTAAATTATTATTTTATTTCCTTAATTCAGTCATCAATAAAGCTACACCTTTTTTATTATTATTAATAACTAGGATTACTTCCAAAATATCTGTTGCAGTGTTTCAAAAAGTACTAAAGCACCTGTTTTACATTTGTGACTTTAAACTACAGTAGCAAGTTAGGAGGCTGAACGCAAGTATCTGCAGAAATGTATATTAGATTTTAAGTTAGACTCAAATTGTTTATAGATGTTTTTCATTCCTTTCATTTCCTATTTAAAAATGGCAGTGTTTCTATAGTTAGACTAATATAGCAACAAGCCCTGGCATATAATTTCTTAGTTGAATTGATTTGGTTATAATATCTGTAGAAATAAAGCTAAGAATTAAACCTAAAAATATAATTTAGTTCCTGCTAATGTTTTCCATTTCAATCTATTGTTTTATAATATATTCATTCTAGTTTTGTTTAATAGACAGATAAACAACAACAACACACAATATCAGTACAAACTTAACAAATCCAAAAAATATCCCTACTTTTAACTGAAAGCGTTATTGGGATCAACATTTACAATGTGAAATCTAAAAAGTCTAATTTTATTCTTCAGAATAACTGTAATAATAAAGAAAGATATGTTTGGATGTATTTCTCTTTATCATCTGAAATATTAACAACTTTAATAGTAAGTATAATCTAAATGCATAATGCTCAGAAAAAAAATTGAGAGTTTTTTTTTACTACCATAATATCTAAGTGTCAGGATCTTGAACTTTTATGCTATTCATCCTAAAGTCTTCAAGAAAATGTTTTTAGATTTTCAGTTGCTGCTGAGGAGTGAAGCATAAAGGGAATAGTTTTTGCAAATGATATATTTTTGTTATGATTCATTTTATATAGCAGATTTAATGTTAACCTTAGCATTTAAGAATGATTACAGGGTAGCCGTAAATGCTGGATAATTTGAAATGCTGCAGGAGAGTTTTCAGCTTGATCGGCTCTCTCCTCTAACAGCCTTTTCTGT